CCTATCCCTCCCCTGGCCTGAGAGTCCCTTTGCAGGTATGCCGGGCTTTAAAAGGGTAGGAAGAAAATCACTGGGAAGAAGTCATAAAGAGACAAATTTCACTTCCATAAGAGAAAAAAGTTTTTAACACAGGGAGTAACCAGTGACAGGCACCACGGTCTGTTTTCTAAGGTGGAGGGACTGGAGTGACAGCGACAAATGCAGCCTTGGCCAACCTGCCAGGATGAACGGAAAAGGGGAGATGAAAACCCGAGGGGGCAAGTCAAAGCAAGCTAGGGGACTGGCTCACAGAGAGAGGCAGTGAGGAGCCATTGCCTAGAAAGTCAAGCATAGATGTTAGGAAAATGGGCCATTAAAAGCAGTGACCTGAACTCCAAGCCATCAGGTATCAGGAGACAAGCCCCTGAGAGCTCAAGGAAGTGTGCCAGACATCTCAGAGCTGTCTGCATGGTGTTTCCCACAAGTGCAACAGGTTATGCCTGATGAGGTGTTAAAAGCACCCACATGGCATCCAACAACAGATATGGGGAGGTCACCCTTATAATTAAAACATTAAGAAACATCCGCAGTAAACTGTCGACGATTTCGGAATAAAGGGCAAATTCCAGTCTGGAATGCAGGCCTATCACACTACTTTGTGCTTTCCTTCAATAATTTTACTTTTGTTACTTTATTGCTGAAAGATCTATTCTCCCCCCGACCCCAGTCTGAAAATTAAGGTCCTACCTGGCCATCAAAGTTCAGGTCAAAGGAAACTGTTTCCAAAAATCCTTCTTGTAGATCTCCAGCCAGTTAATTTATTTCCCCCACCCTCTACTACAACTGAGGACTCAGATCAGAGTGTGGTGACTAAGGAATAATTTACGACAGAACACCTTAGTTTAAAAGCTGTGTATATGTGCATCTCCCAAACTTGATTCAGAGGTACTGTATGGGATCCATCATCTCCTTATCTTTCAACATCACCTCACCTGCAATAGTCATCCATAAGTATTTTGTTCAACTGGAAAAAAAAATAAGGAGGTCCAAACAAAAAGAAAGGGACTTAAATTATGATCTCTAATTCACTTGTAAAGCTGAAATTCTATGAGACATTCTCCCCCAGTGAAACTACTCTAAGCGGTACTACAGACCTGCCCATTAGCTGGCTGAAATAAGAACAAATTATTGTGGCATCAGATCGGAACAATGCTATACAGTCCCAAGGTCAAGACTCCGGGCACTAGAACCATGATGCCAACTTCTAAGGCTACAATCCCTAGTGTATGTGCCTGACTTACAGAAGGTATTCATTTCATAATGGGGCACTAAACTGGTCACTCCCAAACCTCACAGGTACTGAGGTCAAACTGATCCTGATGGAAAAGAAAAGATAAAGCCCTCATTTGATTTCCAAGATTCATCTTTTTTCTCAAAAAAAAAAAAAAAATTCTCAAAATAAGAATTTTTGACATTAAATATTTGCCTTTTGCAAAAATGAATAAATAATAAATGTGCCTAGCAGGTATCAAAAATTCAGGGCACCAAGCAAAACCCCAGCAGCACCTGGTTCTTCCACATAAAAGCTTGTAATGCCCTCGTGTGAACGTCAGAGCCTTACAGGCTGGAGGACTAACGCAAAACCATGTGCAATGTGCAAGGCCATCTGATGCAATAGGAGGTGACAAGCCCAGAAGTCAAGATTCCTCAAAATCAGGTATGGATTAGAGGATCCCTACCTTCTGGGGACTCAGTTTCCCCATTTGCAAACACAGGGAATTAATTCATTTAGCAAATCCTTGAAGAGGCTGTAACTAAAGGCTGGCGCCAGGGTTGGACTACATGATCTCTAAGGTCCCTTTCAGTGCTGAAAATCTTATAATTCTTATAGTCAGACTTCATAGACATTCTTTTGACGCTGACCTGAAAATTTGGCTGGAAACATAAACAGACTTCTACATAAAAACACACATTTACCAGCTATAATTTGGACTTGGCAACACGAGGTTTCACCATGGCCGAGAGGAAAAAGTGCAAAATTTTCTCTGGTGACTATATTACTTTGGGCTTTATTATAGTTCATATTCCAAGGTGGTTCAAATATGGCTAGAGCAGGACCAAGTCACTATCACTCTCACACAAGAGAAGGGCGTGCCCGTTTTCTTTTGCCCTTGCGCAATCTTCCATATATTCAAGAATAACATGCCTCTCCTACCAGATCTGCACTTTCCCATTTGGCAAACTCGGTTTTATTTTTTACCTTCCTTCTATTTTGCAAAATACATAAGCCAACATGGCAACCAGCTTTTTATTTCCTTCCTGTTAAAAAAACAAGTCATGGAGGTGCCTGGGTGGCTCAGTTGGTTAAGCGTCTGCCTTCAGCTCAGGTCATGATCCCAGGGTCCTGGGATCAAGCCCCGCATCAGACTTCTTGCTCAGCGGGGAGTCTGCTTCTCCCTTTCCCTCTGCTTCCTCCCCCCTGCTCATGCTTTGTCTGTGTCTCTCACTCTCTCTGCAAAATAAATAAAATCTTTAAAAAAATTTTAAAAAAAATAAAAAACAAAGTCATGGCTTTAGTATAGTTATCAGGACAAGGTCCATAAAGGAAAAGAGTATTTGTAATTTTTATGAAAGTACAGGTTTGGATTTTTCTTAATTAAATCTTTTGGGAAAGCCTTATTATTACTGCTGTTGTTATATTTACATAGTAATAGTTATAACATCAAAATATCCATATAGCCATTATAGCTTGGCAATTTCAAATCCATCTGTATTTCATCTAGTTACTAGAGGTAGGCAGATACCTTACTTTTAATTATAAGAAAAACTGGACTTAGTGTGTCCTGTTCAAAAGCATGTAACTAGAGGGGCACCTGGGTGTTGCAGTCATTTAAGCATACAGATGTTTGGTTTCTGCTCAGGTTCTGATCTCAGGGTCATGAGATCAATCCCCACGTGGGGCTCCAAGCTCAACGCAGAGTCTACTTGCTTCTCTTTCCCTCTCCCTCTGCCCCTGCTCTCTGTGAGCTCTCTCTCTCTAAAATAAGTAAATAAATCTTAAAAAAATAAAACAAAAACACATAACTAGAATAAGTTGTTCAACTAGCAGTCAAACTTAAGTCTTCTGTCACAAGGTCAAAGAAGCTTTTTAGAACTAAAGATTCAAAATACAAGAAAATAGTTTCTATAATATTCTAAGAGAGCAAACAGACTAAGTGAAGTTTTTAATTATGTAAATTCAATAATACGTAAAGGACAGCCCAGGACCAAATAAGAGCAAAGGTATATAAAGGACAAATTTAAGAGGCTTTTTTGTTCATTGTTAACAAAAAACGACTAAAAATAAGGAAAAATAATTATGTTATTTCTATTTGCCAAAGGACCAATCTGTTGCATAAAATAAATATAAACTTTGTACGACTCCTATCCATGTGGAATCTGAGCTTTGATTTTACAAGCTTGCTACATTTTATCAGTAAGATTTTATAGGAAAATCAAGATTTTTGTAGGAAATCCATGATATGTATATCTAAGACACAAAATTTTTAAGACATAAAACTTTTAATAGATTTTAAAAGATCTAGGCTCCAAAGTGAATTGGAGGTCACCGGTTATAACTGCAACGTAATCATTTTAACTTATCAATAGTACAGAAAGTTTCTTCTGTTAAGTTCTCCTATATGAAAATATACTCCCAAGAAACTCACATGGTTACTCCCCTTTCCTGGCCTCCAGATCTTTGCTTAGGCGCTCCCTTCTCAGCAAGGCCTCTGGACCACCCTGTCCTCCAACCCACAGCCTTGATCTCATTCTAATGCACTTTGTATCAATGTATGAATTTTGTCTACATCCACCAGTTTCACTAACATGTGGGTTTCATGAGAGCAGAACCCTGTATGTCTTTTTGCTATAAAATTCCCAGTGCTATAAAGGTGCACACACACACAGGCACATGGAATATCTGCTGAATGAATGAATCATTTCTTCCTTTGTCTCCCCCAGCCTGAAATTTAGAAGAAAGAAAATCAGACAATGGACTAAACCATTTAACTAGTTCCCATGACTTTTCCTCTCTAAAACTTATTATGGGAAACTATAAATATATATAAAGGTAGACCAAATAATGTTGAGTGTTGCATGCCCTCAACAATTATCAACTCATAACTAATCTTTCTTTCACCTATCTTCTCAATCATCAGCTCCCTACTCTTATTATTTTGAAGCCAATACCAGACACAATTAATTTCCTCCTCAAATATTTTTGATGTTTCTCTAAAACATAAGGGCTGGTTTTTCTTCTATATAGTTATAGTAACATCATCACCCGTAAAACACAACAATAATTCTGTAACTTTGTTATTTAGTTTTCCTTCCTGGTATGAATAGCATTTAGATGCCTAAATGGTGGCTTCTGGTCACCAGTGACTCTGCATGATCACCGACTGACTATTCTTACTGTTGCTTCTGATTCCAGCCCCAAGTTACTTGCAATCAACACTCTACGGAGCACAACACTTGTATATAATCAATACATACTATAATGTGCATTCTTGACCTCACTGAGAAAAGAATACCCCAAGAAGGTTTGCTGGTGCTTTTGCTAGAAAGATGCTGCTGACCAATTAAGACCCGCAGTGACCAATCAGAGCCTTAAAATATCACTCTTAGCCATGCAGAATGCAATGTTTGTGGATAGAGAAACAAGGCAATAAAAAAAGCATGGTTGGGTCCCCAGGATAACAAGAAAATTTGGAATTCTCAAATGACATTCCTAAAAAAATGGCTTTGAGTTTCAAAACAAAATTAGTAGGTAAAAGGATTTCTGGGGCTTCCGAATGCAAGCCAGCAGAACTCTGAGAAGCTTCAGCTGGGGATGTTACATTAAAGTACCTTAGCTCTTTGTGAGTTGTAAAGCTCTCTTTAGGCTCTGGATAGATGTTCATCCACCACAGAAACAATCACTGAATTCAGGAGCTTCCTAGCACGGCTTATTAATATGACTTCAACCACACACCTTACCTGTGCCCTGAAAGCACCTTCATCAAGTGGTGGTGGAGGAGGGAAGTTTCCAGGGCTGGATGGAAGAGCACCAGGATCATCTAAAGGCGGAGGCGGGGGTGGAAAAAAGTCACCTACAGAAAGGAAATGCAGACATGAAGTGAATACAGATGCAATTGTGGAGCGCTCTTGAAAAACATACATTTGCTGCCATTTTTCCGCTTTGTAATTGGCTTTGACATATAACTTTTTGTCTCTTAGAGCAACTATCCTCTATTATAGCTCTTTTCAGTTTCATCAGTAGCCTTAATTTTGAGAGAATGAGGACCAGATCTGATACTTAGAAGTAACATAAAAGCTAGTCTAGAGGGGGCAGGTATGTTCAGCCAGAACAGAGAAGGTGCTTGGGGTGGGGGATGGCTGAGGTGTGTAAGACTTGGTACTTACCCTCAGTAAAGTTTCAGTCAAGTAGAGGAAGAAAAAAATGTGTACACAAATAAAGATAATACAAGATAAAATATATTAAGATGAGAAACAAAGTCTTCTGGAAGCTAAGATAAAGGAAAGTTTATCTCCAGGGGAGGGAGCAAGGAAGGCTTTACCAGAGCATTACAAGGGCCCCTGAACATTATGATACAGACACCAAGTCGGCTTGGCAGAAAGACAGCGGAACAAAGGCCTCGGTTAAAACATCCAGGGCCTAGAGAATAAGGAGCAAGTTATTAAGATAGCATAAATATGGGAATGTAAAAGAATACTAGTACGTAATAAAAATAGGTGCAGTGACAAAAAAAAAAACTTCTAAGTGTGTTGCATGTCTAGTAAGTAGTCTGAATTTTATCATGCATGCGGTGGGGATCCAACAAGCATTTCTGAGAAGAAAAAACCTGGTTGCAATATGATTTACTAAAGACTAATCTAAAAGTACATGCAGGGCCGATCAGGAGCAACTGAAATAAGTAACATCATTGAAATCTATATACAATCCAGGCAGGATGTTATGAGGGGTCAGCACATCAAGAAACCTCAACATCACCGACCGACCAGCACAGCATACCAACGTTATGTTGTAGTAAGAGAACACCTAATCTCTAAGATCTGAGGTGTACATATAAATCCAAGAGCTCTATAGTTTCACGCCATGTAATTTTTTTAAATACTTCACAAGAAATCCTATTAGGAAAAGGAAACTTCCATTTAAAAAAAATTCTGTTTGCCTTTTTCCTTCAAAAAATATATTTTAATAATAATAAACAATATTCATAGATAAGTAGCTTTTCTTTGCATTTCAGATGCTCAACACTTAACTGGTAAGGCAGCGGGTTCTGCCACTCAATGAGTTGCTCTCGGATAGTACCAAAATATCATGATTTAAGCTGTCAATAAAAAAGACTCTAAATGGCACAGTGGAAGGATGGTGGTTTGGATTCATTATTCTGATACACCTTGGAGATGGTTCACGTGGGCCCTATTTGTCCTATAAATAACAGTCTTAGAATTAGAAGAGTAGTTGTCCAATCTAGCTCCCCACTATATTGCGACTACGAAGCCGTCAAACACACTATATTTAGAGTACTGTACTTTGTGGACTCTCACTATGCACCAATCACTGCTAAGATTTTCAAAGGCTACCTCTTAGTCCTCCAACCCTCTGTGCTGATGGTTCTCAAACTTTAGAGGTCATCAGGATCTCAAAAAGGTCTGGTTAAACACAGATGGCTCTGTCCCACCCAGAGTTCCTGATTCAGTAGGTCTAGAGTAGGGTCCGAGAATGTGCATTTCTAATAAACGCCCAGGGGATGCTGATCCTATTGGTCCTGGGACCACACTTTGAGAACCACTGTATTTAAGCAAAGTATTATATTATTCCTATTTTAGACCCCATAGGATTAGAAATGTTAAATGACTTATGTCATATAGAAACATTTCTGTTTCTCTTACCTTTCTGGATATGCACATCTGGAGACATGCTTTATCCATATCCTTATTGGGGTTATAAGTCTCATAAACCTTCAGTAACTCTACCCAGTAGTTCTAAAAATTGGCTACTTACTAGAATCACCAAGAAAGCTTATCTAAAAATACCGATGCCCAAATTCCATCTCACGTCAAACCAATCAGTATCTTGGGGATGGGGGAAAGGGAGCGGGGAGGAGGGGTCAGGTGCCACTACTCCTTTAAAACCCAAATGAGTCTAATGTGCAGTCAGAATTGAGAAACTATACTGGCCTTCCTTCGGTCAAACACTGCACTAAAAAAATATTTAACACCTGTTAAATAAAAAGAATTGTCACCAAGTTGTTTTCTGCCTTGAAAAGTCAGAACATATGAGAAGAATGCTCACAATGAGATCTTAAGTCATCAGCAAAGGAGGTCTAGGTTGATGGAGACTGGTCCTACCAAATTCTAGTGCACAGCCTAATTTGCTGGTTCAAATGTTCTATCCGGACCTATGCCTTCTTCATACCTAATTTAAAAGAAGACTTCTAAGCACCTTCTTATACTTTACCACATTTTATTATGTCACAGAGAACTGCTGGAACGTTAAACAGAATCAGAACTGAACGGAATCTTGGAGATCATATTATAAAGGTAGAAACAGAGGCCCATGAAAGCCACATGAACAGTCCAAATTCTCAGCAAATTATTCTTAGAATAAAAAGTACAACCTTTTGTCTCTGCAGTCCCTTCCAACTAGTCAGTCCCTGAAAAACATGGGTTTAAACTCCGCAGGTCGACTGACACACAGATTTTGTACAGCACAGTCCTGTAAATGTATTTTCTCTTTTTTTTTTTTTAAAGTTTTTATTTATTTATCTGAGAGAGAGAATGGGAGACAGAGAGCATGAGAGGGGGAGGATCAGAGGGAGAAGCAGACTCCCCACTGAGCAGGGAGCCTGATGCAGGACTCAATCCCGGGACTCCAGGATCATGACCTAAGCCGAAGGCAGTCGCTTAACCAACTGAGCCACCCAGGCGCCCATGTATTTTCTCTTCCTTATGATTTTCTTAACATTTTCTCTTCCCTAGCTTACTTACTCGTAAGAATACAGTATATGACAAATATAACATACAAAACATGTGCAACCGAGTGTTTGTGTTATCAGCGAGTCTTCCGAAGGATCAACAGTAGCTATTAGTAGTTAATGTTTTGGAGAGCCAGAAGACATGAGGATTGTCAACTGCATCGGGTCAGTGCCCCTAACCCCCCCGCATCAGTCAAGGGTCAACTGTATATCCTTCCTGACTATATTTCTAACACGAAAATTGGATATATATAATGAGGCACAGGTTGGCAACAATCCTAGGAGGGTGAAAAGGAACAGAAAAGGAAGAAGGAATGTATTTTTAAAAGAAATAACTTGAAAACAACAAAAATCTAGACTGCTTCTTCTAGGCGAAGATGAGATTAAGATTTTTAAAAGCCCTAGTAATAAGCTCATAATAATTATCACATAATTTTCAGTTTTCCAAGCTTGACCATCATAGGCCTCTTCCTTCATTCTTTGGGGTGGAGCTCACATTTTAAAATGGTGTGGAGGAACAGGCAAATGCCTAAGCAACAGACACACCCATGATAAAGGACAGAAAATGGGTCCTTTGGAGGGAAACATAACTAGTTGAGATAGTTGGAATGAAAAGCTCTTCATAATTATCTTAAATCAGACTAAGAACTATTTCGAGAACTCTTGATTTACGGTTCACCAGTTTAACAGGCCATTAAGCAAAGGAAAATGCTTCTAAGTTACAGGAAAAGTCTGCTTAAGAAAGAAGGCAAATTTCCATGTTTAAGAAAGATGGCAAAATGGAAAGAACAAAACAACAAAGTGTGTGTGTGTGTGTGTGTGTGTCTGTGTGTCTGTGTGTGTGCCTGTGTTGGGGGGGATTCTTTCCGTTCTAGCAGATTTTTTCAAACAATGAGAGAACATCTGGCTCAGAAGCTCAGGTGGTGACCCTCCTAGAGAAACACATCTGCACGGAATCAGCTGCAGTACCTTGCAACTAGCAACGCTAAGCTGTAGACCTTCCCATTAGTTCATGGCCTGTCCTCCTCTCTGGGTGCCAGGGAAATCCAGATGGAATTTTCAGACCCCATGAATTACAGGGGCATGGAATAAAATCAAGCAAGCAAGCCAAAAAAGAACACACCATCAGGCAACTGGAACAATGCAGGGATACATAAAATCTAAGATGCAAACATTTAGTTTTAAAAGAAGGGTATGGTGCCGGGGTGGCTCAGTCGGTTAAGCGGCTGCCTTCAGCTCAGGTCATGATCCCAGGGTCC